CAGGTTATTGCACGGGACGGGGTTCATTTAGTGCGCACAGGACTTGCCTAGTCGGGTTCAAACCTCTCTTGGGACATCTGCTCGTCGCACAGGACTTGCCTAGTGCGTCTTACCTCTCCGTGTGGTTGACCGGTTATTGCGCGGGGCCGTGTTTACCCAGTGCACATTCTCGGATAGGTTGACGGGTTATTGCATAAGACATGATTTACCTGTTGCAAATTCTCAGATAGCGACTGTGGGTTCTCTTGTCAACAAAAATCAAGACTTACAATAGTTTCAGAAAATTAACCATAGCAAATCTAGGCCCTTCATTTTCTTTTCAAAATTTGAAGACTACTTTGAAGGATACAATATATTGTACTTTCAAGTTTCAAGAAAGTTAGAATCACTATACAATAATTATTCGCAAAAGTTACCCGAAAACACACAAAACCTTCTCTTTAGTTTCAAATAAACCTTAATTGTGTAATGCATTTCTGGATTTTTCACTTCTATACAGTTTTATTTGTACATATAACTGGATAAGCTATCGTATTTCTTACTGATTATTTAAAAAAAAAAAAAAAAATCTGAGACATGTTTTTGCTTCTGCAAGTAGTGTTCCATGCATGCATATGAGAACATGATTAATCCTTGGTTTAGAATAATGTGTTGAAGGTTTGGACGTACAAATGCTGTCTCTTACATGTATGCATCTGCTGCATTAAATTTAAATGGGGCCTGCAGCTCAAATTCCAAAAGAACTAAGGAAGCTGCCTTAGTAGTAATTCTTTTTTGGTGGGTCAGAAGGTAGCTTGGCCATTTACCTATTTGTACAATGAAAGTGAGCATAAAGATTACCACTTTCTTCTCGGAGGAACAAACCAACTAATTGCCAACTCCTACTACAACCCCCCCCCCCCCCCCTCCTTTCCCCTCCTTTCTCTCCCTCTCCAAAAAAAAATTAATTTAAAGGAATTTTGAACTTTGAAACTAGTTGCGTGGACTAAAGATTAATTTACTCCTTCAATTAATTGTTTCACCGTCCAATTGGTTGATGAAAATCTTGGATGTGGGACTTGTAGGCAAAATAAAAAAAATTACATATAGTCTCACATCCAATACTATAGCTTTTAATAAAATGGAAATTGAAATTTGTTCCAAAAGAAGAAGTTAAAATGTTTTCTTGCATATTTGGTATTCAAATCCTGCGTGGTGCATTAAGAGGGATGCATATTTGATGATTTGTTCCATCAAATATGACAAGATATACAAGGTTCTTATGGTACACTTTGAAAATATTATGTAGCACGTGTTCTCTCTTTAAAAGCATATAGTTATTATGCCTAACCGGTAGGGAACCAGACAAAGGGATAACTTCTGTGGGTTACTCGTTCAATTAATGAATCACTGATTGAATTGGTAGATTTTAATTTAATAATTATAAATATAAAATAGTAATTTTAATGTACATATATAAAATATCAAGTAAAGTGCTTTTAGATACTAATTATTGTACTTAAAAAATATATAATGTACATATAAATGTTAATAGAAGACTTAAGGTCAATTTATCATACTTTTACATAAATAAATAATATAGTCAAATATAAAACAAAATTGTGTCACTTATTTTCAAAGATATAGCATCATTTTTTATTTTTTTATTTTTATTTAAAAATAAAAAATTTTCTAACTACTCAAACATTGTCAGTTTGAAAGTTAAAAAAAATAATTGTATAAATTAAAAAGTAAACAATTTTATTAAAAAAAACATTTTAGTTATCAAATAAAAACTAATCAAGTGACAAAATCTTGTGTACATTTGAATGAAAATCCAATGTACAAATCTTACAAATCTCATCAAAGCATGTATACATTTTGTTTCAAATAAAAGACCCACAATTGACAAAAAAAGGGCGGGGTTCAATTAGAAAATCGGACGGGTTCTCATTTGAACCAGTATGTCCAATGGGTTTGACCGGATCAACTTTTTATCCAATCAAACTAAAGACCTGACTTGACCTGATAATCAAATCACCGGACTAATTGATTCAATCGCTGAATTGGATCGGATTTAATAACTATGTTTAAAAGTACTCATTATAGAACAAAATTAGGTTTTCATTATCACTATTTCTTCCTCACATCTTAGTAAGACCAATTGCGATTTCTGTATGCCAAAAAAAAGAAAAACCTTTAATCATGTCAAGAGGAAAAGTACTATTTTAATCTTTTTATTTCCTTCACTATAGACGGGCTGATTCCACCACCAAAGATTGGGCCTGGTTGAAAATTCTAAACCCACAATAAAGAGGGTTAGTTGAGTATTTGACCGTCTGTTAAATGGGAGGCCGTGGGGGGACCCAAGTCTATCCAGAGAAAAGATAGCCAGCAATATATATGGGTCGTGTCGTGGGGGGTGACTCCAAATTTGAGGCACTGGAAAAAGTTGTAAATAAAGTTACAAAATCAAAGGTAACATTTTTCCATGATGCTCTTGGTCTCACACGCACATTTATACAGTTAAAAAGACATTTAATCCTTTCCACTCTCTTTTCTATATCTTCAAGAAAGATTTACCTAAATTATTAATTAAAAGAAAAGGATCACAATAGTGTGATAGCATTTGCTTGATGTAATTTGGAGATTTTTAAATTTTGATGGGGTCGAATTCACATCAAACTCTGCTTTCCGAACATTTTGGTAAATATTTGATGCATTAGTGAATTAAGGTATAAAATCCAATAGTGCAGTTTTAAATTACTAATTATTAAGGGGTGTGTACTACAAGTATAGTGTAGGCATACACTTAATTAGTTCTCTAATTTGCTTTTTTTTGTTGTTTAACATCTATCATATTCTACAGTGAGGGGTGGTATACAGATCCGACTAAATCAAAGGGGTATTTTGGCACCTCTTCCGAATTTTTTTAACTGTAGGCGAGGTTCGAACTCCTGATCTACAGTTTAAAAAGGGATTTAGTCCCTTTTTAGTGGTTATTGAGTCAAAGCTCGATCGTTAGCAAAGTGATATTCCATTCCTTTTTTTTTTGTTTACTTTAGATTTTAGCTTCAAAATGTTGTCAATTTTCAAGAACTTAATTCTTGATCTCACTCATCCTAGAAATTTGAACCAGGTACGGCAGACATTTGTGTGCAAAGGAAGGATTTTTATACCTTTCAGCTTTTACTTCTCCTTTCTTTACCATTTCTCACTAAAAATGAAAAGAACTGAGGAACTTGCACATGCTTTTTATTCTTCTTTGGTTATCCTGTTGCCACTTTTCAGTTTCACCCCAACCAAAGATAGTGTTTTTGTTATTATTATTATTGTAAATAACCAAAGATGGTGTTATAGTCTAACCCTATACAATTTGAATCATTGAATGCTGATGCCAATATATGTTTCTTAGATCTCTGACTAATTAACACATACATTTTTTTTTTCATTTATAGTGTATATACCCACATTTAAATTCCTTTGCGTGTAAACACTATATTCAACTTTTTATTTTTCTAAAAAATTTTACACTATTATGTACTCCGCTTTGTTTTAGTGTACTTAGGACACTCGTTGGACAAACCTAACATAAAATCTTACATATATAAAATGCTAAGATATAGACAATCATCCAAAGTTTTAGATGCTTAGAAGGCATCTTAATAGTAATCACTAGAGTTAAATAATTAACTAAGAAGTCTATCCAAATTCAAGTTCCTTGGATTTCTTCTCGAGGTGCAGAATTTTCTAAACTCTATTTTCTATCTCAAAATCATACATAAGCACTAGTTGACCGCTATGTGTAGTACGTGTTAACTGAAACAGAAAAGGAATACAACAGACTCAAAGGATGCAAAATTTTAACCATGAAAGAAAAGGGAGAGTAGTAGTTCACACACTTCTATTACAATCTCTATCGCACATTTTGATGAATAGACATTTATGTGTCCTTTCCACCAAGCGAAAACAAATATATTAATAGCAGAACAGTAGTATCAGATAGGATTGTAAGACAAACTTTGAGTTTAGGGGAAAGGAAAATGATGAATATTCAGAAGAGAATAAGAAGAAGAATAATAGATGGTTGCATTAGAACGTAAATGACCACAAACTACTACAATCATCTTCTTAAAGTATAAAGAAATGTTGAGGATGCACGCAAACGTAGTATCTCATACCATATAGAAGGATGTAAAATAGACTCGCCACTTGCAATTTGTAAACATTATATCTCAAGAAAATGTACTTGCATGTTATAAGCTTGATTGTGTTTTGTCTTGTATTTCCCTCCCTAGATTGTCTTTGAATGGAGTTTCTTTCCTTTTTCTTGGGAAAAAAAGGGAAAAGAAGTAGAATAACAACGAGCCTGAATTGGTCTTCAATTATAAACAAAGGTTAACAACGGCTAAAATTGGAGTAGTACTTGCTCGTTCCTGCATAAATGAGTAGGATAGAATACTTGAGAGAAGAAAAAAAAAAAAATCAACATGGAGAGTATAAATATGAAGAAGTTGTTGAGTCACAACCAAAAATTAAAAGTTCCATTTATCTATGTAAGTCCTAATTGCAAGTTAATCTACAAGTAATAGGTAGAAATTAGGATATTTTATGACCACAAAAATAAAGCTAGAATTAGGATGTGAAACTTGTGCAGATGTATCGGTATGTATATATAACCGTGCAAATTTGTTCATGAATAAGGTTTGAGAAAAAGGTACATTCGATGAGTTTGAGTTCAGTGAAGAGCATTGTTTAGAAAGGCAAGTATGAGTTGTTGATGGACAAATGCTCACGTTAAAAGCTTACACCAAAATTTCCTTTTCTTCTTCCCCCAAAGAACGCATACACGAGAAGGGTGAAAAAGAAAGAGTAAAAAGGAATCAAAGTCTCAAACTTAATTTTCTTTTCCTTTCTCATCTTTTTCTCTCCCTCCTTTTCCTTTCCTTTCTCCCATCCATCCTACCCCCACGTCCACAAAAGAAAGTAAGAAACCACATATATCTCACTCTCTCTCCCCATAGCCCCTCAACTGTCATTTTCTCACATATACTTCACACAAAAGAAACAACCATTCACTTCATACCTTGTCATTTCTTCCCTTCTCTCTCCCTCTCCTTCAATCTCAAAGTCTCTGCAACTACTCCCCTCAATTCATCATTTAACCCAATCTTAAAAAAAAAACACCCGGAATTCTCTCCCTCAAAATTCAGCAACCCCATATCCTTCAGCTACAAAACCCTCCAAGATTTTGTGACCCTTTTCAGCCCTGAACAAACAACCATCCCACAAGCACAGAACACTTGCACCAGCAAGAAACAAGAAAAGGTAGGGGCTGTCAAGAACAAAGAAAAAGAACAAACAGTTCTTTTTCTTTTTCTTTTTCTTTTCTTGTAGGGTTTGTTTGGCCGGCTGCTTGTTGAATCAAAGATGGAGCTGTTCCCAGCACAACCAGACTTATCCCTACAAATCAGCCCACCAAACAGCAAACCCTCCTCAGGTTGGAGGAGAACAACTGAAGATATGATAGATTTGGGGTTTTGTAAAAGAGCTTTGGACTCAAGAAACTCCTCTATCTCATCATCAATGGCTGCAAAACCTGATACTAGTAACTTTTTTGACCTTTCTTTATCAAACAATCAAAGGATGATTTCTGTTTCTGATCACCATCATCAGCCAAGCTCCAACAATAGCCATTATAACCTCATCCAGAATAGTAGCTCTACTAGTACCACAAACAATAATCTTATTCACTCTTTTCAGCAAAGCCAGCAGTTTCCTCTCCACCATCAGCACCAACTTCACCATCACCACCTCCTCCAACATCAACAGCATCAAGTAGGAGGAGGAGGAGGGGGGCTAAACCACCCCGAATTCGGGTTTTTGCGACCAATAAGAGGAATCCCAGTCTACCAAAACCCTCCTCCTTTTCCATTATTTAATCCAATATTACAGTCTTTAGATGCTAGTACCACTAGTTGTGGAATTCCTTCTCCTACTTCTACTACGACTAGTTCCTCCAATCCCACCTGCTTCCAGTCCCAAGGCGGATGCGGTGGTGGCGGCCTAATGCGGTCGAGGTTTTCATCGAGATTTCCAGCTAAACGGAGCATGAGAGCTCCTAGGATGCGGTGGACAACCACCCTCCACGCTCGTTTTGTTCATGCTGTAGAGCTCTTGGGTGGCCATGAAAGTATGCAACATTAATATCAAGATTAATGCTTTTTTATCTGTTTAGTGTTTTTCTTCAGCTAATTATAAATTAGTAACAGAAATAGCACTAAACTTGCATATTCATAATCAGTTCATTTCTTGAAATTATGGCCTTTCTTTATAAATTTTTTATGGGGGCAAATACAGGAGCTACGCCCAAGTCAGTTCTTGAGCTAATGGATGTGAAAGATCTCACTTTGGCACATGTTAAATCACATTTACAGGTAATTAAATGGACCGCTTGTTTCATCAAATCAGTTAGTTTTCTCCTAAGAAGGGATTAATTTTTTTGAGTTTTTACTTTCCTTGTAATTTTGTTTTGTTTGATTCCATTTTATGTCAGCATCAGTACTACTTTCGTCCGTGAATTTTCTACTGTAATTTGAAGGTGTTTTAACAACTTTGAACTTGCATTACTGTAACAAAACAGTACAGAATGGTCATAATTTAAACATTTCAAATTCCAATGTTTTCCTGTCTAAAATCCTTAGCACTTCTTTTTCTACTAGATCTGATGCTTCTTCTGCTACCTATCAAGTAGCTTTTTGCTTGGAAGAATGAACCATCCATCCATGATCCATGTAAAGAGAAAAGATCCATAATCAATAATCAATGACTCAGAGAGAGATATATCATATATGAAGGGAGAGAGAGAGAGAGAGAGAGAGAGAGATGAACCAAGTAAGACAAAGCCCGAGGAAAATTAAAAACAGTCAATAGCCAAGCCAAGACAAAGGGTGTACACAGTATGCATCATTACTACTATTATATTTTTGAAAATTCTCCTTTTACCGAAGACAGTGGCGATAAGAAAGTACAAAATGCTATCATGTCTCAATGATATCTCTTTCCCTTTGAGTTTGTAAAACCAAGGTGTACAGAACTGTGGTTAATTCCATACAGAAGTTTTGCACATGGCATACATTCACATATATGTATGTAGTTTTATGTAATAGTACTATGTAGCATGTTTTAGGACATTAAAGCTGGGACACATACAAAAAAGTGCATATTTCACCATACGTACATTGCATTCTTGGAAAATTCTTCTTAGCTTTTCTATTTTGTTCCTTTTCTGTCTTGCAACATTTTAATTATTATGCTTTTCATTTTCTTTTTGGTTGCAGATGTATCGAACGGTGAAGACAACTGATAGAGCAGCACCTTCTTCTGGTTAATCTCCTTGACTTTCTTCCCTATATGCTTATTTTGTAGTGCTAGTGCTAGTGTACAGGATCTTGAGATTGATGCAAACCATCTTTTGTTATTTAGTTGGATACTGTTCTCATTCGTATCGTTCTTCTTATCGTTTAGGACAATCAGATATCTATGAGAACGGGTCATCTGGGGATAATTCTGAGGACTTAATGTTTGAAGTTCAGAACTCAAGAAAACCTGAATTATCGGTGCAACAAGGAAGGCAAAATATACAGCAAGACAAAGACTTGCATGGTCTTTGGAGTAATTCCTCAAGGTTAGCCACTTAATGATGTTTATTAGAATCAATAAATTTCTATACTTCTTGCTGAGACAGAGAGGAATAAATGGAAGAAACTAAAATTTTTGGAATGTTGAGTTAGGCCAGATCCCCAGAGGCTAGTTTGGAAACGATGGACGAAATATGAAGAAGAATGCGAGCTTCATTAGTATAAATATACTGTCTCTTATCATCTGAGATATGACCAAGTTTAGGGTGGTATTTGCAGCCCTTTAATCTTTGTCAGAACTGCGTTATCCTTTTATAGCTACCTTACATGTTCAATAAATTTTAAGGGCCAAAAGAAGCTTTGGTCAGATGGGCTCAACGAATAAAGCAGAAGTTTGAAAATTTGCTTATTCTAGCTACTTTCATCAGACTGAACTCTTCTGCATTTTCTTGTGTCATTGTGTGCGAGGATAAGTAAAAGAATCCAAAATTACTTTAAGGCTTCTCAGAAAAGCCGATTCAAAGTTTTGTTTGGATTGAGGGACTTCATTACTCTTGCTAAAAAAGATATGCTAATAAGTGCAATTCTTTTCCCATCTCAACATTTGTCTGTGCGTGTTCTGCGTGTGATTTTGTTCGTGTGCCAGTGCAAACATAAAGAACATAATCCTAGAAGATGCTAACAAAAAGAAGATGAGGAAAATAAGCCCACTTCTTTGTTCTGTCTGTCGACAATCAGGTTTAACACAGAAACTCCATCATGGTTTAGCAATCTCTTTCTTTACAGTTGTTGAAACATGAAAAGTAAGTGCAGCAAGGGGAAGAAAACGCACACATCCTAGACATAAAAAACATTTGAATTCAATTTGGCTTAAATCAACCTAAAATGGACATATCTCTTTCCTCTAGATCTTGTGGGCTCAGATAAGGGCATTTCAGTGGGGCCATAGCTAAGGAACTTAGTGTCAAAGCTAAACACTGAGTGATGGCCCATCTGTAGAAAAATCTTGGTGCCAAAGCTTTACTACTAGTCTTTTTGAAACTTCCTTGAAGTCTGTTTCATTTAGCATAATATGCGGTATCACATGGGTGGGTTCAACCTTTTTTTTTTGGGTTTCCTCCCTATCGTCACAGAATATAAAGTGAAGAAGTATAAATGATTCCCTCAAAAAAGAAGTATAAATGAGACAGTAAAAGATAGCCATCTTTTTCTTAGCAGTTTACTTTTTCTCGCTTCTGCATGGCTTCCACTGATAGGAAATATTCTCTCAATTGCATTGTTTTGTAGCAGGGAAGCTTGGCTGCATGGCAAAATGAGGGATTCTTTAGGCAACATACCATCTCTTGAGGTACTAAACGCAACTAATCTAGAATATTGGCCTTTTCATTTTCTCTTTCTCCCCAAAAGTTTTCTAATGCTGGTCTACGCTTTAGTCACCAGTCATTAGTCATTACCATTTGAATATTTACTGAATAAGCACATAGAAATATTTGTGTTTGTGGACTTGCTCGAGGAAGATTGAGTCCTTCACCTTTGTGTGTTGTGTCACATGTAATCTAAGGATGTGAAATTTACATGACAGATACATTCATGGGAATAAGAAGGAAATTTACATGTTAGAGTTATCTGGCATCATATGCGATTACAGTATAAAGTGGAATAAGAAGGAAAAAAAGGCTTGCTTTTGTAAAGTTGTGCAGGCCATTTTGCTATATCTGAGGTTCAAGGAATTTTGTAATATGTAATCCAAAAGAAAGGAAGCAGCACCCCAAAAAAATGTATTTTCTTTTAGTAGCTTTAGTCAAAGGATGGAATACAACTAAAGTGGATTGTCTTCCTCAACATGCTATAACCTTAATACCTCGTACTTGATGACTATAACACTGCACCAATGAGTGAAATATGATGGACACAACCAAACATTCAAATACACTGTGCCCAATTAACGTACTGTCTCTATTGTTTTCAACCACATGAATTTAATTAAACTTTTATCCCTATTAAAAGCCCACTTGCCTGTTCTCAAAAAAGAAACAAATCTTGCACTGATTGATTACATAAGAAAGTTGCATAAAAATGTGCATGAGACATGCATTTTAAGAGGGGCAACAGGATTGACCGTGATGGTGGCCGAATTGGGTTTACCACAAAACATTAAAGTTGTAGATAATGATATTTTATAGCTGCCTGTAAAATTTCAGCTTAATCCGAGCACTGTAACATGTGAAAAGACAAAAATACCCCGGACTGCCATAGGAAGAACTTTAGGGACAGTTTTGACATTTCACCAATCTGACGTGCCTTTTCACCATGATATGTACTGAGCTAGTATTTAGACAAAACATGAAAGTTGTAGTATTATGTCTTAGCTTTCCAATACCACTGGAAATGGCTCAATCGGATTTCGGTAGCCTGAGTTATTGTCGTTTACGCATAATATGGTTAACTGACCTGTTTGTGAGATTCTAGTTCTGTAATTTGAAATTTTGACCTAGATACACTTTGAACTGGACTAAGTGGTCTTCATCAAAGTTGTAGCTCTCTATCTTAGCTTCGAAACGGTATAAATTAAACCTCAATCCGATAACCGTTGCCTCGGTTGTGTCTATTACCCAAAACAACGTCAAATCTGTCTTTTGTTTCTTGACGCAAACTTCATTTCCGCACATGTTTCTGGCTTGATTTTGTACTTGTATGATTTTGAGCCTATGGAATGGCTATTGAAATGAGATGATTTTGTGTGTGACTTTGGGATTGATTGAGAAAATAATGAAGTCATAAATGGCTGGAAAATAGGTAAATACAAAGGGCGTGCTGCCAAATTTTAGCTCGAGAGTAAGGTAGATATACTTGCGACTTGAGCAAGGCTTGAGAGCGAATACCACTTGAACCATTTAGGATATTGGCGTCTTCTTTTATCGAGGTATATAAGTTAGAACTTAGCCGAAACTTGTATCCTTGGAAAAAATGAAATTTACGACTAATAGAAATACGTTTTCTTTGTCACTCCGACTCAAATGGAGATTTTAAAGTTTTACGAGTGATCATAAGTTTTACAAATATTTTACTTATTTCCTTTGGTTTCAATGTACTCCTTTCACTATAAAAACCATATTTATATATTGTACTAGTACGTATTCGAATTTTCTTTGAATCACTTAAGTCTTTGATAGATGAAGCATAATGTGTTCTTTTGATTATATTAGGGTTCATCGGTGACTGACGGTATTATCCGGCAAGATATTTTGGATATTATTTTGCGTAAATAGGTGAGTGTTCCTTGTTTGTTATATTTTCATTGACTATACGGCTTGTTCTTGACTATATGGCTTGTGGTGGACGTATGATTACATGTTCCATATTATCAATGACTGTTAAAACGAATTTTACTAGGCGAGTGTGTACTTTATCGCACTCGACCTAAATAAATGTGAAATTTTCAATGATTAAATGATTAAATGCTAGTTGCGCATGAATGTAAGCCGTTTGGCTGAACTGGGCCCTTGCCCTTTGTTACCTGTCGACTCGAGCCAGAAGCGGATTCGGTCGGGCGATTTGGTGACCCTGGGTGAACGTTTGGTATACTCGAGTATTACCTTGTTGTCGGGTGGAGCTTGGCCAACGTCCAGGAGGGGTGAATGAAATGAACGAACGAGGGTTTTACTTATAAAAATGTATTTTCAAAGGATTGGAGGAATAAGGGGAATGATAGGAGAACGAACGAACTAACGAATAAATGGTTCCCTGTGAGCCCGTATCCTTTTATTGTATGTGTTATTATCGCTTTCTAGTGTAATGTTTCTTGAATTATTGATACTCCATGTTTAATGTATTGGATTGCTTGTTTGATTATGTGTTCGGAACCTCACTGAGCTTTTAACTCATTCCTTTAGTTTTATTTTCCTTAACTGGGGAAGGCGGGTAAGGACGAGAGCTCGGCATAGACTAGCCTAGTCTAGTTCTTTGATTTTGTAATGGTTCTCGCCCTAGTGCTTGGCACGGACTGAATGTATGAAGAATTGAGAACCTTTGTATATTCGATGTTTGTGTTCCCTTTCGAGATAACAATGTATATAAGTTTCGCTTTAAATTTTGGATTGTTGCTGTATTTATTCCTGTGATTTTATTCCGATTTTGATTGAGGACTGAAGTGAACGACTGAGTCCCTGCGAGAGTTGGGCAGGCGGTCCGCCAAAACCTTTGGTTCCCCTTATGGGGAGGTGAGGCTGTCACAGTTGGTATCAGAGCCTGATTCGCGTGGTCTCTGCGCGGAGTGAACTTGGGCTAAGTGATGAATAAATATGAAAGACTAAGTGCTCGTTCGAGCATAAGCTAGGTAGGAATTTCGATTGTAGATAGTTTACTCTTGGGACTGGCCAGCTCGAGATGTGAATTATCTTATTTCAAATTCTCGTGCCCGAGTACTACAGAGTTGAGACCCTGCTAAGTACTTGAAACTTGCATTTTGGGAACATGAACAGGCTTTGTTTGGCTAGAGTGAGTACAAGAGATCAACGGGCCCTTGGAAGTTAAGTAAGAAACCAGACGAGAGTGATTTTCACTGAGTGTGGGACGACAAGTCACGTTTTTTTCGTTTTGCTCTTGCATTGTTCCTACATGTCATTTACTTGTGGTATGTTCATACCTACATATATAGTACTTGTTGCACTTGATTTTGTCTAATTTGAAATGTCTCTTGTTATATATGATGCATTATATTGTGTATATGTCTCCTTGTGTGTTTGGTGTGTTATATCTTGTTATTTTAGTCAATTTACTGTGTTACATATTAAATCACCTTTTGAAAAAAATTTCGAGGACGAAATTTCTTTAAGAGGGAGAGAGTGTGACGACTGGAAAAATTTTCTTATATTTTTCTTAAAATCTCCCCTTTTATTTGGAAATTATTACTTTATAATAGCCCTACTACTCAATCACCCCACAATAAGTGCAAATGAACTAGAAAGTAGGATTTCACTTTTCGTGTTTTAAGTTAGCATGAATTAGGGTTTTACGCCTATCCGTAGTACGACTATCCAGTACGAAGTGTGGATCAAATTTGGTGATTAAAAGTGAGTTTTAGATGATATTAAGTGTGGGATTAGAGGAGATAATAATAAATTAGTGAATTGTAAGTAAAAACCCTAGTACGTGCGAGTTAAGGAAAAACGATGAGAACTCGATATTTTTCTTATTCTCTAGCTCTTATTTTACTTCCGAACAGACATTTTCTATACTTTCCTTTATTATATTTATTTTCTAGCTATTATTATAAGGGAATTAAGTTCCAAGACATTTTTCGCTATAAGATAGTTCATGTGACATGAGTAGTGTATTTTGAACGTGGGACCCACTAGTGCGATACATGCGATATTTTTTTTTTAACATCTAGTTGGTGAACCATGGAGTTAATTGCAAAGATTAAAAGTTATTGGGGCCATAGTGTGAGGCTTAGCAAAGTAAGATATTAGCAACCTTGAAACTTCTAAGGTCTTCCTAAGTTTAAATTTGATTGGTGAAGGAAAATTGACCTTTGACCTTAACTTAAATATCTAGGATGTTAGTAAATGAGAAGGAAAACAAAGCAAAAACTCATAGAAAATAGAGAGAGAGGGTCGTGAGCCTTGAGGAAAAACAAAAGGAAAGAAAACTTCAATTTCATCTTGGGTTTTGCTTGATTTAGTGAGAAAACAAGAATACTAAACCGATTAAACTCTTCCTTTAGTTCTTAAGGAGCTTTGTGTGGTGAAACTTTGGAAGGAAAGGTTGTGATTCTCTCTTGCAAGAAGCCTTGGTGAGGTATTATTGTTTCCTATCCTTTTCTTGCATTTAATCTTGTTCAAGTTTAGTTAGAAACTTTTAATTTTGCCTTATGACGGTAAATTTATTAGTTTGGAATGAGATGTTGGATATGGAGCTAGGGTTTACATTCTCAGCTTTGATTATAGTTATCTATCTCTTAATTGATGTTATTGAGCTAGTAGTTGATGGGTTTGATGATAGAGCACTTGTTAGATATGAATTTAAAATACAAAGGTGCAAATTTTAGAATTTGGAAACCAAGCTACCCTGTTCTGTCCGGTTCTGGTTGACCATGATGGAGGCCGAATTAGGCTTAGCACAAAACATAAAAGTTGTAGATAATGATATTTTATAATTGCCTATAAAATTTTATCTCAATCCGAGCACTGTAACATGTGAAAAGACAAAAATACCCCGGACTGCCATAGGAAGAACTTTAGGGACAGTTTTGACATTTCACCAATCTGACCGTGCCTTTTCACCATGATATGTACTGAAAAAGTATTTAGCCAAAACATGAAAGTTGTGGTATTATGTCTTAGCTTTCCAATGCCACTGGAAATGGCTTAATTGAATATCGGTAGCCTGAGTTATTGTCGTTTACGCATAATATGGTTAACTGACCTGTTTGTGAGATTCTGGTTCTGTAATTCGAAATTTTGACCTCGATACACTTTGAACTGGACTAAGTGGTATTCATCAAAGTTGTAGCTCTCTGTCTTAGCTTCGAAACGGTATAAATTAAACCTCAATCGATAAGCGTTGCCTCGGTTGTGTCTATTACGCAAAACAACGTCAAATCTGTCTTTTGTTTCTTGACGCAAACTTCTTTTCCGCACATGTTTCTGGCTTGATTTTGTACTTGTATGACTTTGAGCCTATGAAATGGCTATTGAAATGAGATGATTTTGTGTGTGACTTTGGGATTGATTGAGGAAAATAATGAAGTCATAAATGGTTGGAAAATAGGTAAATACAAAGGGCGTGCTGCCCAAATTTTCGCTCGAGGGTTAGGTAGATATACTTGCGACTTGAGCAAGGCTTGAGAGCGAATACCACTTGAACCATTTAGGATATTGGCGTCTTCTTTTATCGAGATATATAAGTTAGAACTTAGCCGAAACTTGTACCCTTGGAAAAAATGAAATTTACGACTAATAGAAATACGTTTTCTTTGTCACTCCGACTGAAATGGAGATTTTAAAGTTTTACGAGTGATCATAAGTTTTACAAATATTTTACTTATGTTCTTTGGTTTCAATGTACTCTTTTCACAACCAAAATCATATTTATA